CCATCTCAAAAAAAAAAAAAAAAAAACAAACCAGAATTAAAAATGGCAACTGCAGGCCAGGCATGGTGGTTCACACCTGTAATCCCAGCACTTTGGGAGGCCGAGGCGGGTGGATCACCGGAGCTCCAGAGTTCGAGACTAGCCTGACCAACATGGAGAAACCCTGTCTCTCCGAAAAATAGGAAATGAACTGGGCATGGTGGCAGGTGCCTGTAGTCCCAGCTACCCAGGAGGCTGAGGCAGGAGAATTGCTTGAACCCAGGAAGCAAGAGGTTGAAGTGAGCCAAGATCATACCATTGCACTCCAGCCTGGGCAACAAGAGTGAAACTCCATCTCAAAAACAAAAAATAGTCCGGGCGCGGTGGCTCATGCCTGTAATCCCACCACTTTGGGAAGCCGAGGCAGGCGAATCACTTGAGGTCAGGAGTTCGAGACCTGCCTGGTCAATGTGGAGAAACCCTGCCTCTACTGAAAATATAAAAATTAGCCAGGCGTGGTGGCACACTTCCATAATCTCAGCTACTTGGGAGGCTGAGACAGGAGAATCGCCTGAATTCGGGAGGCGGAGGTTGCAGTGAGCAAAGATTGCTGCTATTGCACTCCAGCCAGGGCAACAGGAGCGAGACTCTGTCTCAAAAATAAATAAATAAATAAATAAATAAATAAATAAATAAAAATGGCAACTGCAATCCCATTTAGAGAGTGGCTCCTCCTCTCCCCACCGCAGGAATCCTTTCGGTTCAGGTAAAGAGAAACAGCTTGTACCTTTACATTACACATTACAGGGGGTAGACACAGAAGGGCCTCAGTCACTAGCCAGTCGGAAACTTTGTGTGGGTGGAGGGTGGGGACTACAGCCTGCTGCATGTGCAGGCCTTCTGGATGGGATGGGGCTTGGAGGTGAGAATCTAGACTGGGTAACCCAGCAGCATGGTGAAGACTTCAAGGCCGGACAAGGCAGGGCTGTTCGGTAATGCGGTGGCCGGTGGGAGATATCCCATTGGAGCGTCCCCTCCCTTCTGCTGCCTTCCCCTCCTCTGAGGGAGACCGGTGCCTAGAAGGTCAAGGGCCCTTCAGTTTCATCTCCATCTTCCCCACAGGCCCCGGCCGGCCTGGAACGTCACTGGCCCTTGATGGGCTTTTGTAGATTAGGATTGTATTCCCACAAGGCACTGGCGTGGAGAGTAAAAAGTAGGAAATCCTTTGGTCACTGACCCACTTCCCGCTTTTCATTCAATATGAAAGGAGCCCGGAGCAGGGACGTGGTGGCGCTGGTGCTGCTAAAGAGGCCTGCGTCATTCTGATCAGCCCTGGCTTCCGCGGGCTCCTTTCTCTTGCTGACTCGGCGGCCTGTTTGTCCCAGTCCTGGGCAAGAGCAGTGCTGTGGGAGGGAGCCGCCCCAGTGGCTCCTTTCCCACCGTCCCGGCCGCCTTGGGGGTCTGGTGGGGAGGGGGTGAGTGAAGTCGGGAGTGGCAACGGACTTGCAGCCATCTGGTGAAATGCAGACGCCCGGTCCGGCGCCGTGGCTCACGCCTGTAATCCTGGCACTTTAGAAGGCCGAAGTGGGTGGATCACCTGAGGTCAGGAGTTCGAGACCAGCCTGGCCAACATGGCGACACTCCGTCTCTACTAAAAATACAAAAATTAGGCCGGGCGCGGTGGCTCACACCTGTAATCCCAGCGCTTTGAGAGGCCAAGGCGGGCGGATCACGAGGCCAGGAGTTCAAACCAGCCTGGTCAACATGGTGAAATCCTGTCTCTACTAAAAATACAAAAATTAGCTGGACGTGGTGGCTACTCGAGAGGCTGAGGCAGGAGAATCGCTTGAACTTGGGAGGTGGAGGTTGCAACGAGCCGAGATCGCACCATTGCACTCCAGCCTGGGTGACAGAGCAAGACTCCGTCTCAAAAAAAAAAAAAAAAAAAAGGTACCCCGGCGTGGTGGTGGGCGCGCCGCCTGGGGCCCGAGGCGCCGTCGGGGCTCTAGGCACCCGCGGCCTGAACTGTGCGATGTGGGCAGGAGAGGTAGTGGAGGCCGGTTTCAGCCGCCGGGTTCCCCGCGGGTCTCTCTCGCGGCTGTTTGGAACCAGAAAACCTCTTCTGGAGGGCGCTGGCTGCTCTCGCCAGCTCACCAAAGGCCTCGGCACCCACAGTGGAGCTAAGCTATCAAGAGAGGACAAATGTGGCACTTAGTAAAGGTCAAGAGACCAGAGTTCCCGCCCTGGCTCAGCCACTGACCCATGTGGGGACTTGGGCAAATCTCCAGGCCGCTGGGCCCTCTGTGCCACGAGGAGGCTGGGTTGGAGGGCCTGGAAGAGTCTTCCCAGCGGTGCAGCTCTACGAATCCATTCTAATAGAGAAGCACCTCTGAGAAGGTTTTCCCCTCTACGGGAAAAACAAGTAGAGCTGGAATGCAATTTCCACCAAAGAGCAGATGGGGAGAGGAGGTGACCAGGGGTGTGGTAACAGGGAGGGGCGAGGGGAGGCACCTGGTGGTGAAGTAGTTCACAGGAGGCTAAGCGGTGTGCGGCAGGGTTCCTGAGAAGGCCTGGAAGCCAGTAAAGACTCCCTATTCCTGAAGATCTGCACTTACAAGGACTCTGAATTTACAAAGGTTCCTAGATGCCATATTGAAAAATCTTGTTTCATTGTAGGGTCTTCACAGCAAGTTCCCTTAATGCTTATATACACAATTTTATTTTATTTCTTCGGTTTTTGTTGTGTTGTTGTTGTTTTGTTTTGCTTGTTTGTTTTTGGAGACAGAGTCTCACTCTACCCCAGGCTGGAGTGCAGTGGCATGATCTCGACTCACTGCAACCTCCGCCTCCTGGGTTCAAGCGATTCTCGTCCTTCAGCCTCCCCACCTCGGCCTCCCAAAGTGCTAGGATTACAGGCATGAACCACCTCGTCCAGATTATTTCTTTGTTTTGAGACAAGGTCTCACCATATTGCCCAGGCTGGTCTGGAACTCCTGGCCTCAAGTGATCCTCCCGCTTCAGCCTCCCAAACTGCTGGGATTACAGATGTAAGCCACTGCATCTGGGATATATATACACACACATATATACACACACACACACACACACACATATAAATATATATACATATATAAAAAATATATACACATATATAAATATATACAAATATATATACATATATAAAATACATATACACATATAAATATATGCACATATATAAACATACATATATACATATACATATATATACACACACACACACAGATATACAGATACATATTTGAGATGAGATCGCACTGTGTTGCCCAGGCTGGTCTTGAGCTCCTGGGCTCAACCAGTCCTCCCACTTCAGCCTCTCAAGTAGCTGAGACTACAAGTGGGTGCCACTACATCTGGCTTCCCTTAATATATTTTAAATTATTCAACAATCCCATTCCACCCCTACCCCCCCCATATCCACTCTGGCTACACTTCCATTGATTTTTTTAGATGGGGGTCTCACTATGTTTCCCAGGCTGGTCTCAAACTCCTGGCCTCAGGTGACCCTCCTGCCTTGGCCTCCCAAAGTGCTGGGATTATAGGTGTGATTCTTCCGCCCGCCCCCCAAGATGGAATCTCACTCTGTCATACAAGCTGGAGTGCAGTGGTGCGATCTTAGCTCACTGCAACCTCTGCCTCCTGGGTTCAAGCAATTCTCTGTCTCAGCCTCCTGAGTAGCCAGGATTACAGGTGCCTGCCACCACGCCCAGCTAATTTTTGTATTTTTAGTAGAGATGGGGTTTCGCCATGTTGGCCAGGCTGGTCTCGAACTCTTGACCTCAGGTGATCCATCCACCTCGGCCTCCCAAAGTGCTGGGATTACAGGTGTGACCCACCGTGCCTGGCCAGGCATGATTCTTAAAAGGAGGCTGGGCTGGCCCAAGGTACCCAAATGAAGACTTTGGACACTATGGGAGGGTGGGTGGAGTGGGTAGGGGGTGGGCCAGGGGACCAGGGTTTCATCTTTGTTGAACGATGAGGGTTTCCCTTAGTCTTTTAGGGGCCTTGAACTGACAGGGACTGAAAACCTCTTTAAATAGCATTTGCCACATTTCATCCCATTTCTTATTTACTTCTAATGTTTTCGTAACTTCTCCAGGCAGCCAAGCAGCTTAAGGGATTCTGGTTTGAGGTTCTCCTATGTGGATGGACTTTGCCTGTTTCCAGGTAGGGCCAGGGCAGAGGCCTAGAGTATCCTTCCTTCCCTCAAGCCCTCTCACGCTGACCTGGGTGCTGCTGCTGGAGGTACCCTCAAGCCAACGGGCATTGAGCTTTGCTGCAGAGAAGGCAGCCTGCCTTGGGCTCCCTGAGTCCAGGGTGTGCCCAGGCATCCCTGGCTTTCTGTCACTTTTTCTTTTCTTTCTTTCTTTCTTTTTTTTTTTTTTTTTTAACACCTTCCAAACTAGTCTTTAGGCCTCTCCTGGTTGGCCTTTGGTGACAAGCAGACTGTTTTCATTCAGTCTCCCTCACCACCAAGACTGGCAGTGGTCTGGGTGGATGAGGCAGGTGGAATCACCTTTGATAGAGGACACTAAAGCTCGGAGCCCTCAGGTGACAGGTGAAAAGGCATACCAGGAAGTCAGTGACAGAGCCCAAAGCCTCTATCTTGTCCCTTTCTTCCAGCCTTACCTCCCACTCCATCTCATCTCCCTTCTGTTACTTATTAGTAGACATGCAATACATGTACATGAAAGTTTCTGCTGAGGCAGGAGCCCACTGGGCCACAGGCCCTGCTCAGGCATGTTGCTGCACATAGGTGGGTATTAAGGAGAAAATCTGGCTGTGAGGAACCTCCATTGGTGGGTAGGCGGCTGGGGGGATGGGGAGGAGCAGGGAGCCATCTTGGATCTCTGTCACTCAGCGATGTCATAGTCATGTTCTATGAGTTCATGTTCTGACAATGACCAGTTTGGAGTTTAGCTTCAGACCAAGTGTTTCAACTCCACATAAGAGGTAGCTTTCTCGAGAGCAGAGATCGAAATATTTCCTATGCAAAGGATGGAAATACTTCCTGCGCGTAAGCGCAATCCTTTCATCATTCGAAGTATGTGGGGAGAAATAGATGATCAATGGGCAGCTTTGGGGCAGTGGGGCGGGGAAGCATGGGTCTTGAGGGTGGTATCTGGGTGCCAGTTTGGGTTGGGAGATGCTCTTATTTCTCTGGTTTGTCCTTGAAGCTGCTGCCTCTGGGAATGCCCTGGGTGTACCCATACATGAGTACGAGCATACATGTGCTGTTTGCGAGTTGGCATGGGCTTGTGTGACCCTTGTCATCCATCCAAGGGCGCACCACTCTAATTCCCCCACCATGGTGCCTGCCAACTGTGCCAAGTGTCACTTGCCACCGTGGGCAGTTGCTGGGCAGTAGCTGGACCCCAACTTGGATCCCTGGTCTAGAAAGGCCTGGCAACCTTGAGAGGCTAGGGTGCTCTGGCAGAGGGCAGGTATTGGTCAGATCGCTTGTGGAAACCCTGCTCCCCTCTAGGCCTTGTGGAGACAGGGGAAGAGGGAGTGGCTCGGGCAGGTCAGACCCTGGGAACCTGGTTGTAGAAGGAGCAGGGAGGGGCTGTCTGGAGAAAAGGCCTGGCCTGCCATGAACTCTCTGAAGTGTGAGGGATTACCCTGTGAGGCGATGTTGACCTTAAGGCTCAGAGGTGGCTGAAGATGGAAGGAACTGCCATGAAGGAAGATGGTAAGCTCCCTATGACTGGTGGTATGCAAGCAGAAGGCAGGCAACCACTCAGCTGGTTCTAACAGGATAGAGGGATGGATGAGGTGGCCTTATGGAAAATTCATGTTCTGGTGGGGCTTATTTCTGAATATAGGACTCATAAATAGCTGGATTTCTTGGCCTTTCAAAGAAAAGAAAAACCAAACTCATGACATCTCTTCCTTTGCATTATTTTCTCCAACCTTCAATCTTTAAACTGCTCTTTTTCTCACCCTTTCATTCTTTCCAGGCAACGGCCCTCAGATACTTTCTTTCCAAATAGGGCTGATACTTGTATTTGAAGTGGAATATTTCTTCCTTGCGTGAGACTGTCCTATGCGATGTAGGATATTTAGTATCCCTGGCCGTTTCTTCCTCTTATTGAATTCCAGCAACACCTGCCAGTCATCCAGGCACAGGCCCCACTAATTTCAGAACATCCCTTACAGAAGTGACACTGAGGCTCCTACACTTTGAAAAACATTGCCTGAATCCCCAAAGAAGTGACTAGCTCAAGGTCATACCACCAGCTAGTGGCAAAGTGGAGATCAAGTCAAATCCCATTCATTCATTCATTCGCTCATTCATTCGCGAAGCTTTAATTCTTCGCTCTAGGGTGTGTCAGGAGAGTAGAGGGAATGAGGGCCTGAACCGAGGCAGAGAAGAGGGTAAGAAGAAAAGTATTATTCTTTGCCCACAAAACTACAATTTCTCACAAATTCTCTGCTCTTGCCAAATTTTGTTTTCCTCTTTTAGCCCGTCGGTTCCGCAATTTCGGGCGCAAATAAAGACTTTCTGGCATTTAGTGGAAAGAGCCTAGTTGAGCACGATCCGCAGAAGCGGAATCAGGTGCCTTTCGGGTGGGCAGCGGGATCCGAGGGCCAAATCCCGAGGTCTTGGCGAGGAAGCAGCTGCCCTCCGCCAGGCATCGAGGAGCGAGCTGCAGCCGCGTTTCTCTCGCGGCGCCGCAGCCGAACCGGGTAGAGGTGGTCTACCATCGTTCCTCCGTGGTGGGCCCGGAGGTGTTTCCCCGGGCAGGGGAGCTGACTGGAGGCCAGGGGCGCCCAGGCCGCGGTGCGGCGGGAGCAGAGGGCAGCGCAAAGGCGCTGGACTTCACCTTCCCACGCCAGAGGCCGAGGCCTCCGGGAATCGCAGGGCCACCTCTTCAAAGCCCTTGGCGATCCCAGCTCTGTCCGCGGAGGGGGCTGGCGAGGTGGGCGGGGCGGGCAGGCGAGACTAGGTCTTTCCCTGTTTGGCCTCCGTAGCCGGCGCCGGCGGGTCGTTCTGTTTGAATGAATGATCCCAGCAGCCGCGCCCAATGGGCGTCCGCGCCTGCTTAATATGCATGAGGCCCGCAGCCAATGGCCAGGCGAGGAGGCTGTTTTAAACGGCAGAGCCCGCTGGCCAATCAGGCGGCTCTCGTGGAGGCAGCTAGCGCGAGGCTGGGGAGCGCTGAGCCGCGCGTCGTGCCCTGCGCTGCCCAGACTAGCGAACAATACAG